CAGAGGCGGGGATAGGAAGGAAGCTGCACTCTGGGTATTTAACTCGGGCCATGTCAGCTAGTTTCAGACCCAGCACCAACGTGAACGGGGCCGGGGTTTTCTTCCTGGCTGATGTTCCTAAGCCCAGTCAGCCACAGTGATAGGCAGAAATGCATCCTACCAATGGCCTTAAATAACACCAGGCTCAGCCCTGCTCAGCTCTAAGTCCCATCCCCACACCACAGGGAAGGGAAACAGACCATCCCAGGTAATACCCAGTTGGAGAAATCCCTTCAAACCAGTGAGGAGGCAGCTGGGAGGAAGTGAGAGCATAGCTCTCTGTTGCAGAAGGTGACAAAGGCAAGAGGCTTCAAGGGACAGATCTGCCGAAGGCGCCTAGGAGGTATTTGTTGGGCCTGCAAGTTTCCCCCGAACGGTAGCAGTAGAATCGAGATGGCTGGTGGGAAAATAAATGCATAGCATGGATGAGGGATGCGTCTACCCCCCTCAGAAGTAGGCTCCTCGGTCCAACCCCCAAGCCTCAAGGAGAATTTCATCGTGGAGAAGTTCCTGAGAGCCCCCCGCCCACCTTACCCACCTTCCTTCCACTCGAACTCCCTGTCACTAGCAATCTGCTGATTAGGGTTAATGTATTGTGCCCTGATATGGCAGATTAAAAATGAAATCAATAAATGCCTAAAACAAATGGGCTTTTGAAATGTCCCATTCAATCCGAGTCTTTAAGGGTGAAGTGAGAGGTGGAGGAAGGAAATCAAGGGGGGACCGGGGAGAAGACCACTTAAGTAATCAATTTCCATCCAAAACACTGGGAGGAGGATGCGTTTTTAAGGTATCTGTCCTTCATTTTTCTCAGGGATCTGCCTTGAATAACCAGAAGAGCCAGAACAGTCAATGCTGTTCTGAGCCCCTGTGGGGGGGGGGGTGTCTGTTTATTATTTCCATAATAAATTCTGCTAAAAATCATATTGTTTGGGTAAGTGAAGGGGTCCAGAGCATGTGGTATTTAAACCTCCAAGATCGGAACTTGTCTTCCTGAAGTTCTGTTTAAACAAAGTGAGAGGGCCAGGGTCCCTTCTCCACCCCACCCCTGATTTCTTTTCTCTTGAACCGTACCCCACTTGCCCATAAATTAAAGGTAGACTTCACCCTGTGCTGTCTGTCCCCTCCCTGCCCGGAGACCTTCCTGGTTCATGCAGTCACTGCTACCATGAGGTCAAAAGGCAGACCGCTCCGGCCATCTCTACCCTCCACCTTGGTCCTCAGAACTGCCCCTGCTGAATATGCTTCCCATGTAAATAGCCTGTGCTATTAAGGTGCAAATTGCAACTTTTAAGTAATGATTGCTAATAGTCTACTGTTTGCTGCCACACAAGGACATTCATGCAAACAAAATCTGCATTATCCATCCCCGTATCAAATAAACAAAATGAATTGAGGGAGCTGTTCTTTCCTGCCAGACTTGCCTGAGATGTGGGTTGTCAGGTAGCTTTTGAGAGTCAGCAAGAAGGAAACATTTCGTCCCCTAGGGTGGGCAGGAGCCGGCTCCCACCATTTACACGCATGTTAGATATTCACGTGGAGATGATGCCCCAAGATTCTGCACTGAATCGCAACTGGCTGGCGTTATATAAAAATGATCGTCCGGGTAGTGAAATAAAATATGTATTACACGTGTGTGCAGAGACCACGATAGATGGTCGGACACGGAAGTGGTAGTGGGCAAGCCTACAGTTTCCCATTTGTAACTATTCTGCATCCTGTAAAACACAAACAAATCTAAACCTGTTCTGGGTTGTTTTACCTTTCTGCCATTTTCTCTGTCTTCCCCAAAATGGATAGGGGCAAGATGCTGGTATAGAATTCTGCAGTATTTTCACAAGCCCCTGGGGTAGCAAAGGCTGCTTTCTAAACTTTTTTTTTCCTTGCCTGAAGTAATAGCATGGAAGAATAGTGTAGCTTTAGAAAGCCAGGAAGAATAGCATTTGGGAGGGAAATGTTCTGACTTAGCTGTTTCCTTAAAGAGAACTTCCTGCCTCACAGTCCTTCTCTTCGAGGGAGAGAAACGTAGCAAATGGGGACTAAAACTCCCCATCACTGGTAATGCCCTCTCGTTCATTATATCTGGATAACGGCTTTATTAGAAAGTTCTCTAATTGATTCCCTGAAACATGGAACTTAAAACTAATCATGCAAAGGAATCAAATCGCCTCAAACAGTTCTTGGGAAAGATAGTCCCAGCTCTGATTCACTCACAGGCTTTTTCTATCTTACATTATTCATTAATCAAGCCAGAAACAAGCTTTCAGCATCGGACCATGGGAGTAATTACTTACAGTTGTGCGTTGTGCTTAATTTTTAAGCCGTGGTAGAAGTTAGGAAGGCCACACTCCTAGAACCCACCTCTCCCATGTCCCTGGATGTTCACTGGCTAAAGAATCCCAAAGTAGCTAACTTTCCTCGGGAACAACCAGCTCGGCCAAGCAGAGCACAACATCGGTGGCTTCAGAAAAGAGAACCATTGCATTGCAAAAATACCCACTTTATTAACACATAAGCAAATAAACACCCTAACAGGGGCCTCACTGTGCATGGAATGAATTATTCCCTTTTAGCCTGACAATGGTTTCCACTTCTTCAGCGAAAATATCAAGAGCCATGAAAACAAACATACAAACACATGAGGAACACAATAGGCTGGGAAACTGAAACTAGTGTCACAACTTTCTAACACACACGCACACCCCAGTGAACAGGCGAGTCAGCGCCAGGAGATACCAGCTCAGTAAAAAGGACCTGATTTCAATAAGGTGATACGGCCTTCTGTTCCGTACCCCTGGATTCTCCCTGATCAGAAAACGATGATAATCAAAGAAGTGGGATTCTGAGCAAGGCACTTTTTGTAATGAGCTTACCAAAGGAGACATGTCCAGTCATTCTGGTAATTTAAATTACTGCCTAGTTGTTGATGGCCTTTACCGGAACAACAAGGGGGGGAAAAAAGAGTAATTTTCAGGGCAGTATCACTTCTTGCTGGACTGTTGCCCAGGGTTCTCTTTTGGGACAACAATGAGGACGTTATCTCTAATAATCTAGCTGCACTCATACTTCTGTTGCCAGAACTAGACATAGCAGGCTTACTCTTCCTGAGTCTAGGAGGCCGGGGTGCACCCCAAAGCTGTCAGACTGCAAGGCAACCTAAGTTTTAAAAAAAATAACTGGGTTGCATGTAGAAAGAGACAGGGACATGAGGGAGAAATTGGTTTCAAAAGAGGTGGACTTGTTAAGAGAACACCTCGCTGACTGGGCAAGTCCTGAGTATGTATGTATGGTGCTGAAAATATTTTCATTCTTTGGCTCTAAAGGAAACAATTGGAAAATACACGAATCAAGGCTTTATAAGTGATATTTCCGCCTGCGATTTCAAGCAGTGTACACGCGGTTTACGGAAGCGATTCGGCGCTCAGAAGGGAAGATAATTGTGGGTATTTCAAAGCACATGCGCTGCCATTCGGCCTGGAATCGGGCCACGAAGGAGGCTGAGCTTGGTGGTCCAGCCTGTTCCGGCACAGACACCCACTGTGCCCAGATTTGTAACTAACTTTGGATTTGTGCTGAGGGCGGCTCTGCGAAGTTTGGGGACTGCTCCGCAGAACTTCTCCCTCACGCTTCGCGAGCTGACACAGAAGGGAACGAGAGCCTGGTGGGTCCTCCGCCCAAGCCCAGCCTTCCTGGGGGCTGCCCGAGCGGGAGGGCAGAGACAGAGAGGGGGAAGAGACACAACCCAAGCCTTTTGCTGAAGCCCTGATTCAACGAAAGGACACAAAGAAATAAAAACGCCCACATTAAAAGCCAAACAAGATAATAATTGTGCATGTCTGGCTCGGAATCCGGCGGGCCAGGCTTGCGTCACTGGCACTCTGAGTTACCATGGTGAGTGATTTATTGATATATATCAAGAATGAATAGATCAAAGGCAGCGAGATGACAGGTGATCAATCAAATGTCAAATCAAAACTAGCAATCAAGTGGAAAGCTGATTTTTCAGTGGGTGGGTCTGGCAGGAGAAAAATGAACTTTCATATTACACTTCCGAGAAACAAAACCCCGGCATACTATTAAAAAAGCAATTAAGCAACCCAAAAGGAAAAAAAAATCCTTTAGAAGATCTATTGTACTGATCCATTAACCTGTTCCTCTCTCTCTCTCTTTTTTTTTTTTTTTTTTTTGGTGGGGGGGGGGTGGTGGTAAGTGAGGATTCAGATGGGATAGTTTTTAGCATACAAATCAATTTACAAAGTTTGCAACTCTCTCTGGGCAAAGAAAACCAGAGTTGTTTCAATGTTCTGCAGGGCATCCCCCCTCTTTTTTTTTTTTTCTTTTTCCAGAGAAAGGAGAGCGTTGATTAGATTTCCAAACGTGGATCCTTTTAGTAAACGTATTCAAAGGCTCGTGCCTTCCCTGAAGTGGCTTTTTCCACCTTGGCGATCTAAGCTTAACTCCCATAGCTCACCCCAAAGCCAGCCTGCAGCCCGGGCTCCGCACGGCTCACACTTTAGCGCCCCAAACCCCGGCGAGAGGAGACACTGCCACTCCAGGCCAGAAGCCACTGGCACTGACCACACGGAGGGATGAAGAGGTGAAAGGACTGCTTCCCTACTCCGCACCCCAAATCCTCAACCCAACTTTGGCCCAAGAAGCAAGAAACAGACAGGGAGAAAGTTAGGGGTGGGGTAGAGGGTAGAGAAAAAAAAGTTTAAGGAGGGAAGGCTTGGTGGGATAGCGACCCCCACCCCACCAGAGCCTAGAAAGGGGAGTATTTGGGAGACTGGAGAAGGTGAGAGAAGATGGGGTTCTCATCAAGGCAAAGAGGGACACCCGAAATGACTCCCCCGAAAGCTTGGGGTGACATCCTGGGGAAGCCGGGGCCAGGAGGGCGGGCGAGGGGCTCAGCGCACAGAGCAGCCGGAGGGGCCGCCCCGAGACGGAGCCGGTTCTCTTACCTGCCGCCCGCTTGGGTGCCTGCTGTTTCCTCCTTGGCATCGCTCAACTTCGCTCCAGTCCCACTTCTGGCGCCCCAGCCCCGAGCCGCGCGCGGGGGCCCGCGGTCTCGCTCGCCTGTCTGGGTCTCCTCCGCCTCCTGCCCGGTGGCTCCTAGGGCGTCTCTCGGCCTCTGTCCCCCTGACGATCCCCCCTGCAACTGCTCCGCCACGGGCCAGAGACCCCCCTCTCTGGATGGCAGGGGTGGCTGGTGCCGGCTGGTTTGAAGTAGAGGTTGGCTGTGCCTTGTTTGTTTGTTTTGAATTTTTTTCCTCTCTTTCTCTCTCTTTTTGTTTTTGCTTTTTTTTTGGAATTTGTTTGTTTGTTTGTTTGCTTTTTGGTGACTGTTGAGACACTTGATTTCTTTATTAAACATCCAAGACCGGATTCGGATGGAAGGGACGAGGGGCGCACACGCGCCGCACGCACGCGCGCGCGCGCAGAGATAAGGAGAAAAAAAAAAAAGGCAATCCCGGGAAGGTAGTGGTTTCTTCTTCTTTTTCTTCTTCCTCCTTCTGCTCTTTCCCTCCTCCTCTTCCTCCTCCTGGCCGATCTCTATGGCGGATGCGTGCTGGGGGAGAGAGAGAGATCACTCACTGTAGGTTTGTGGCTGCTGTCAGATCCCCGTCTGTGAGTGATATGCGAGAGGACAGGAGAGGGTTTGGGAAAGACAGAAAATCTGGAATTCACTCACTCACACACTCACACACACAGACACACACACAGGCACACACTCACACACGCACGCACTCTCGCTTCCTCTCACACACACTCACACCCCCCACATATGCACACACACACACTCACACACACACAAGACAGGGCGAGGCGATGCCAGCAAACATCGATCCCGCTGAACAAACTGAACATTAACAAACTCCTCCTCCTCTCCCCGCGACCTGATGACAGGGAGAAATTTACTCCCCAGCCGCAGCGCGCCAGGCAGAGGGAGTCTATTAAAGGGACAGTGTCCCGCCAGGGAGAGGGGCTGGGGGCGGGGACCAGGCATGCCACCCCTGCTCCTGCTTCTTCCTGGACCCTCTTCCCCGGGGTGAGGACGTGCCCACCGGCGCAGGGACGCCCCTGGGGGAGGTGGTGAGGACGGAGGGGGTGTAGGAGAAAAGGGGGGCAGGGTGATGGCTAAACTCAGGGCTGGGAAGGGGGCTTCAAGGGGCCAGGCTGGCTTGCCCGCAGGGACCATTAACGATATCAGGGGGGTGAGAACTTGGATTTGCTTTGAACAAGGGAGGGGGAGGGCACTCTGCCGGGTGATGACCTCCATCCGCTAAGTCTTCCGAGCAGATCCTGGCATGTCCTCCCCACCCCCTGAAGTTTAATGATGGCCCAGTGACTCCCCCCTTCTTGTCAACCAGTGGATGGCCACAGAAACAAAAATCGGCTTTCTCGAGAGTTTCATCACATATATCTGTCTTTGCTTTGTTTAAGTGGTATTTATTGAGCACCTACTATGTGCCTGTTCTGGAGACAGAGCAGCCATAGAGAAAGGAAGGTCCTCTTAGTGTTTGCGTTTTAAAGGGGGGGCAGACTGGTCATCCTTAGCATCTAGTCATTGCTTAAATGGCACTTTCTTTTAGAGGCCCACCTTGTTTAAAATTTCACACCCCCCACTCCCCTCACCATTTCTCCATTTTTCCCATTTTGTTCACTGTTACGCCCCAAATGATGGCAAAGAACAAGGCGCAGACAGAATGCCCAACAAGACAGTTGTTGAAGGAATGAAAAGCAGACAAACAAGATAACTTCAGAGCAATAAGCTCCATGAAGATGCTGAAATTGGCTTCCGTGCCCATGTCTGGGGGAGGGTGAGGCTCTGGACCCACTGCAGGAGGGGTCACTCAAGGTGACACAGGCTGGAACCAGCATATAGTTAGGGAGCCCTGCTCCGGGCCAGGCGCTTCCCGGGTGCTGGGGACAGGTCTGCATGGAGACCCTGCCCTCAAGAAACTCGCTCCAGTGAGACAGGCTAACGATCAAAGGGGCAAGTGCTGTGTGCTGGGGCAGGAGGTGTCATTGGGAGGGGTAATTCACCTGGACCTGGAGGAAGGGACGGTGGTTACCGGGCAGGGCTTCTAGGGGAGAGCCAAGTCAAAACTGAGTCCTAAATACGGAGCTATTACCAAAAGGGGGCGCTAACAGTGAGGCCTTACTCACTAGTCTAGCAGGCAGTCTCAGTGGGGTTTCTGCCCCTAATCTCCAGGGGCCCTTGTGAAGCTGCCCCTTCCTAGGCTCTACCCTAGAAAAGATGTTCTACCTCTGGTACTATTGGCATTTGGGCCTCATTTTTGAGTTGTGGAGGCTGTTCTGTGCCATGTAGGATAGTTAGCTGCATCCTCGGCCTCCACACACTAGATGTCTGACACTTTCACCCCCGAGTGTCAACCAAAATTGTCTCCAGACATTGCCCAATGTCCCCTGTGGGGCAAAACGGCCCCTGGCTGAGCAGTGCTGCCCTAGCCCTTCCGAATCAGAAACTTGCCGGCGCGGGTTAGGAGCCTGCTGTTGGAACAAGCAGTCCCCACCCTCACAAGTGAACCCCCTGCTCACTCCAGTTAGAGAACTTCTACTAAAACAGCCTTTGTTCTTTTCGAATCAGACACGCCCAACATTGTAACTGCAATAAAGCCAACTCAGGCTTAGATGTTAATATAATTCAGGAGTTCAAGGGGTGACATTGTTACTGTGGTCATTGTCACGGGGTCTCACCTGTGCCCACTCCTCACTACCCACCCCTGCCGCGTACCCACCGGAACCAGGGCTGAACCAGTGTGATCCGGGTCACCCACCTGCAGACCACCCACCTGCCACCGTTGTCCTCACTCCAGGGAAATTACCAAGGGTGACTAGTTCTACAAATATTTTTCTGAACCGTTCTTTGAGCCTACAGGAAAGGTAACTTTTCCGTTTTACTGCTCAGCCGCCATAAGTTATTGTCACTGTCTGCAAAGTGCTGTTTAATCATTTTAAACAGCCCCGCATGGGAAGCAAGTGCTCATTTCTCCCTCTCACACACGCGGCACAAATGAACTCACCTGCCTTAAATCACCCAAGTGGCCTCCGCCCAAGAACAACCCCACCCAATCCCAGCCCCGTCCTAGAGCAACTGACAAAGGGAACCACTCCTTCATAGATGACAATGTCCGCAAAAGGGCATTAACCCTAATTAATTCTAATTACCCAATACACTTGACAGAGTGCTGTGCTCGGGCCCATAGTGTATTGAGCAACCCCCCCCCCCAAAAAAAAAAAAAAACAGAGTTCTAGGATCGGGAAGTACAGACTTCAGGCCTGAGCGGAAAGAAGACTGAGGCCTCAGTCAGGCTCTCGGTGAACCCTCCTCTAGAGAAGCCAGGAGCCTGTGGATTTGGCGTTTGCATTACATTCAATCACTGAGCAAACATCTACTGTATTAGTCAGGTGCGGGCATTGCCCCGAGCACATGCTGAAATGCATGCAAGGGGTTCCTGGCTTTCAAAAGGCTTTGGTTAAAATGCTGAGCACAAGACTGAGAACTAGGAAAGGGGGGAATTCGGGAGCTGGACCGGGCCTTGGGCAGAATCAGGATGGAAATCCACAGGAATCGTTGGGTCTGGGCTGCAGAATCCCCACTGCGGGACCTAGGATTCTTCTCCAAATTCATACCTCTAGTCCCTCCTCTTTCTCAACAGCCGGTTACATAACAGGGTGAGGCTCTTCTAGTTCTGCTAAACCTACCTTTGGCTATCGACGCAGTCTTGAACCCGCACTTCTGGAGTGTCCTTTCGTTAATTTGAATGATTCTTCTGCTGCTACAATAGCAGAATGTTTGGCTTGGTTATCAACAGAGACATTTTGGCTATTCCAGTGGCACACAGGACACGGTGGCACCCAGATGTTGTCCAGTGGTATAAATATGACACTGAAAGGCACGGAACCACCGGGCGAAAGGTCATCCCCTTTTAATCTGAGAAAGTCTCAGTTTGGTGCAAGCGCATCTACTATGCCTAACAACTGCCAACTTTTATTTTTCAACCAAGAAACCACAGCTCTCAAGCTTAGAAGCTGGGGAGGGACAAGAGTCCCTGGCTCGACTTTTCAAAAATGGCTTGTTTTTATTCAATTTAAGGTTACCTCTATCTTAGCGAAAGAGACAGCAATGTACAGTTTGATATAATTTAAAGGTTCCAGAAATAAACACAGCTCAGGGGTGATAGAGAATAAATAATGGTTCAGGTGGGACGCGGGGATGGCCAAGAGTGAGAAAGGCGATACTGACAGGTGTGGATGGAATTTGCAGAATATGTTGCTCAACCATGGACTCCAGTGCTTTTGGAAACTTCTCCCAAGAGCTGATGGTTTGGAGGAAGGCTGTGTTTGGGGCTTCAGGGACCTTAGCATCCTAGAATCCAGCATGCAAAGCCTGGGATGTGTAAAGGCATGAACGGACTGGAATCACTCAACTGCACCTTCCAGAACACTCATTCCCACACTGGCTCTACATTTGAATCACCTGTTGGTATTTTGTTGTTATTGTTGTTTTAAGATAAAGAGGCACAGGCCCCACCCACCCCAGAATTGCTAAATTAGATTCCAGGGTGGAGTCAGAAAATCAGAAATTTTAAGTGTCCAGGTAATTCTGATAAGGTGCTAGGCATCCGAACCTTCCTTGTGCAAAAGCTGAATTTTGGAATAAGTGAATCAAGTTAGGCCTTCTCGCATGCAAGGAACAGCCAGTGGATTCACTCAGAAGTGTGGCTGAGAAGCGTCTAAATGCCCTATTAAAGCACATACCTATCCTACTGATTTTGGGGGTGAGGGGAAGGGGGTTAGTTTGCCAATCTTACCACTGGACTCTAACCCAGTGCAATTAAAACAAATATTTGCCCTGTGTCTACCTTGCCCTTATCCTTGGATAGGGGGGCAGCCTGCGACCTTCTGGAGCCGCAGGGAAAATGTCTCAGCGACCAGAATGCCTCCTATATAATAGATGTTGCCGGGCTTCCGCCTTTCCTTCCCCTCCAGCCGGATTCCCCCTCCCAGTCTCCTGTCCTCCTCGCTCTAAACTCAGGTGCCATCTCCTTTGGCCTCCACTATCTGTATTCATGCTTCCTCTCGTTTTTCATGGTAGTGACGACCATCTGTAATTATCTTTTTCATGTATTTGCCTTTTTATTTTCCGTCTCTATTCATTAAAATGGAACTTCTAGTTACCTCCGTAGTCCCAAGTCCAGGGCAGTTCACCAGCCCTGGAATAACGGTGTTGTGTTTGGTTCAAGGTTGTCTCATTTATGATGTAAACAAGAAAAAAAATAAATGGGTTCCATCCAAGGCCACGGTCGGGGTGGAGTGTGCATGCTCTCCCCACGTCCGCGTGGGTTTTCTCTGGGTCCTCTGCTGTCCTCTCACATCCCACAGATGTGCCCGGGGCCAGTGGCACATCTAGCTGGCGCCCGGGGCCTGAGCGTGGCAGATGGACGTGGGCGTGTCTGCGCCTGGGGTGGAGGGTGGCTGGTCCGTGTGGGCTCCTCCCTGCACCACTGCTGCCGGAACAGGCTCCCACGACCCGGAACTGGAATCACCAGGTTGGGCAATAATAAGCTTACTTGTTTTTATTAATTCTTTAAAAATGTACATAGAGCTCACTTAAAAAATGTTTGGGTCTTTATTTAGAAGTTTGGTGATGCTTCTGTGGTGAGAAATATGTCCTAGGAACTTAACCCTTGTTTTGCTCAACTGGCCTATGGGAAAACTGCTTTTATTGGACAGTTCACTTCAAGTTGCAGCTTCTAAGAACCATCAACAATTTTGGGGATGACTGAATACCAAGCAGGGCATACTGGCAAGAAAGGGTGTACTTAAAAAATATCTTGGC